TTCGGCCACTGATGTCTCTGACTCAGGATCCACTGCTGTTAGGGTAATGGTACCCTCCTCTTGCAGGGGGAGAGTACCATCAGAACCTATAGGGGAGAACAGAGAAAGAACATTGTTAGCATGTGTCATATGTTGCAATGCTTACTATTATCTGTAAAACAATATTATTTAAACTTGGAAATAAGATATATGCAGTCATGCTATTAATTTATTATTATGTCTAAGTATAGTTATGCATCTTTGTCGCCCCTAGCCCTTTCTCTGTCTGTTTGCATGTCTTTGTGCCCACCTCCCTTTCCTTCTAATCTCACTACATGTATCATGGACGAGCGTCCCCAGGTAGAGAATCTCCTGTTTTTTCTGCATGACAGGAAGCTGATCGTTGCACTCAGCTTCCTGTCAGGCCAAGAAGATGGTAGATAAGATCACACGTGGTCCACTCAGCCACAGTACATAAAGTGAACAGAAGGAGAGGAGCAATGTGAGCTCCCCCCCACCCCTGCTGGTCACCCAGACATTTAGCCCCCTGGCCAGCACATGCTAGGCAGATGCTTAGTATGCTTTGCGGTCGACCCGGCCCCGCCTGTTACATAAACTAGTATGCCTGCAAAGAAAATGTGTACAGTTAAAGCATTTTTTACTTACGCTCAGCAGTGGATCCCTGTTCCTGGACACCAGTGGCCGGCTGTTGGAGGGAAACCACACTCGTACGTGGTGAAGAAACGTCGACAAGTTGCGGATGGCCTGAAATACATGTATGTGATAAATTAACTTCATATACAGTAAAATCACATACGTGTGTGTATGTTTAAATGCGCACGCACACACACACATAACATTTATCTAACAATGCAAGTACTTACGAGAGGAAAGTGAAGCCAGGCGCATTTCCAGGGAGACAGGAGGTGAACCTGCTGCCCCGCTCTCCGTGGAGACAGCATCTCCTGCAGTTCCTGGTGCCTCTTCTGGGGATTGAGGGGCTTGCACTGATGGCATAGAAAACACACATTGGAAGGTTAACACAAGCAAACTGATATATGTACATTTCGACTAACAAATATGAATTTAAAGGACCACTCAATGAAGTGGTCTAGGTGCCAGGTCCCTCTAGTTTAAAGCCTGCAGCTGAAAACATAGCAGTTCTAGATAAACTGCTGTTTCACTGAGGGTTAATCCAGCCTCTAGTGGCTGTCTCACTGACAGCCACTAGAGGCGCTTCCGCGATTCTCACTGTGAAAATCACGGTGAGAAGATGCTGGACGTCCATAGGAAAGCACTGAGTAATGCTTTCCTATGGGTGGTTTGAATGCGTGCACGGCTCTTGCTGCGCATTCGGAGCTGACGTCGGCAGAGGGAGGAGTGTTCCCCAGCGCCGAGGGAGCCCTGCGCTGGAGAAATGTAAGTGGCTGAAGGGGTTGGAGAAAGGTAAGTGGCTGAAGTGGGAAGGGGGCCACGAGGGTGGGGAGGGACCTAATTACCCTACAGTGCCTGGAAAACGAGTTTGTTTTCCTGGCACTATAGTGGTCCTTTAACATCGTACCTTCAGATGTTTCAGTGCCAGGTGTCCCCTCAATCCCAAGGAGGTTTTCTCTTCCCAGGAACTGCAGGAGCTCCTCTTCATAGGGCAGCAGGTCCGGTTCTTGTGAACCGCCTCCTGTCTTCCTGGAGGCGGCTGCTGCCTTCACCTTCCTCTTCACCATCCGCCTGATGTCGTAGTAACTGCAATGACATGATGACATGTGTAATTGATTAATTACTTTAATATGTTTCTATATATATATGTTTACTGACATGTTTAAAGGGATACTATAGGCACCCAGACCAAGCATTGGATTTGCTGATCTTGTCAATTATGAAGATCGCAGCCAAGGAGGCAGAGCACAGCTCTGCTATAAGGATGAGTAATTAAAGGGACACTCCAAGCACCCAGACCACTTCTGGGTGCCAACTCCCACTACCCTTAACCCTGCAACTGTAAATAAATATTGCAGTTTTCATAAACTGCAATATTTACCTTGGAGGGTTAACTCCTCCTCTAGTGGCGTCGCTGAAACCCCCATAGGAAAGCATTTTTCAATGCTTTCCTATGGGGAGGTCTAATGTGCATGTGCAGCATTGCAGCGCATGCGCATTAGGTCTCACCCCGCCGGCGGCAGCGCATGCACAATTGGTCTCCCCCTGGGATGAGGGGTGGGAGGCGGTTTGTTCTCCTGGCACTGGAGTGTCCCTTTAATTACAGTTACATTGCTGAGAGGGAGGTTAAACTGTGTTTTCACAGTTATAGTGACAGGAATGCAAACATGTATTCCTATCACTATAGTGTTCCTTTAAAGCACATGGTGTTTTTTCCCTCTATGTGCTTAAGTGACCCAACCCTCACTTTTAAAAGACTTTAAAAGCATAGCTGCCACTAGTGGGTGTGTGTAGCAAAAGCACATGGAGGAAAAAAAAAAGTTTTAATAAAACATGGCATAAAGAAAATTATTTTTTAGGAATATAAGTGCACTTACCGTTTCTTCACCACGTCCTCGGTGCGGTTGTTCCCTCCAACAGCATTCACCGCTGCCACAATCTTCCTCCACCGATTTTCCTTCTGTGCTCTGGAACTCTTTTTGGCTGCTCCCCCAAATATACATTGGTAGTACTGGCAAAGTTTGTTTACCAGTACTGTATTCTCCTCTGCACGAAAGCTATCTGCATATTTATTCTTCCTCCCAGGATCTGCTCTTTTTAAGATCCTGGGCTGCCTCTGCTTCTGCTTGCTTCTCCCACTTGCTTCTCCTATCTCCTGGCCAGAGTGGCCAATGCCCCCCTCCACTACATCCATGACTTCTATCTCACTTGAGGAGCTGGAGGAGGACATGGCCACTTCTGGCAGGCTCAGTGTTCAAGTGCCTAAAATGGCTGACAGGGTGGTGGGCTGGCTGAGCTCCAAAATGGCTGAATGGCTGGCCTATAGAAAATCTGGATAGATTTTGCATTGAAGGACTGCCTTGAGTTGATACTTTTTTTTTCTACAGTTTTGTCTGGCAGTATGTAAAAGCCTATTTAATTGGCTACTACTTCTTTCCCACTCCCTTATAAAATGATACTGTGTTGCCAGTACCACCTGTCAGGGAAGCATGATGATTCATGAGCCCAAGAAACTAAGCAAAAGCAATGCATTGCATTTGCAATGTCATTCGACATGCGAATGACTATTGTAAGTGGTGTTCGGTAGTTTACTAATAGTGCCAATACATTTTCATGCGAACGGCAGTGTTCGTGCATTTGACGGTTCGGGAATTTGTTCGGGAGTTTTAGGCGTAAATAGATTAGAACATTGTTCAATGCCATGTGTTGGGAGATCAATGTACGAAAATGTAAACGAATGAATGGTTTTACTGCGTTCACTTGAGGCTATTCGCTATTTAGGGATTAGGGAACTGACTTTTATGATTGCATTGTATTTGCAATACCATTCGACATACGAATGACTATAGTGAATGGTGTTCGGTAATTTACTAATAGCGCCAATACATTTTCATGCGAATGCCAGCGTTCGTGCATTTGACGGTTCGGGAGTTTTAAGCGTAATACAATTCAATCAATGCCATGTTGTTAGCAATGTACAACATTTGAAACGAATGGTTTTACTGAGTTCGGTTGAAGCTATTCGGTATTTAGGGATTAGGGAACATAGTTTTATGTATTCAATTCATTTGGCTCAATTAAATCGCGCCGAATGAACGAACAAGTTTAGCCGAAACGAAAATACTACCGAATATCGTACGAAAACGAATGAAAGAATTGACGAAATTCGGTTCTGACTAAAGTATTTTCTTTTTCGTACGAATACATTCGTACGAAACGAAAATTTCTGAAATGCCCAAGTCTATTGCTTATGAAGGTCTGTGGGCCAACAACTCTTTCAATCGCACCCTTGGTGAATAGATCGTCGAGTTCGCTCCGTAGAGTCGACTCGTCTAACAGTGACATTTTGATTGGGGTAGGAGGAGAATTTTGTATTGGTTCAACTGAAAATTCCAGGTGGAACCCAGACACCGTCAGAAGGATCCAAGGATCCTGAGTGAGTTGAGACCACTGTTGGGAAAAAAGGGTTAACCGGCCTGCAATAGGAATATGAGAATAAGGAAGGTCCATTACCTGTAGCAGTGCGACCGCGGAGGGAAGCGGATCCACGTCCTCGGATAGCTCCGCGAGAGGGGAAAAATTGCCTGTGGTGGAATCGGGTATTGCCCGAGTTCCAGGTGTCTGAAGGTCGAGGCCTGTAGCCTGTGAAGGCGGCTCTGCTAGTCGCTCGGCCTCTATAGCGACCAGCTCTTCCGGAAAAACGCTGAGTGCTAGATACCTTGCGAATGGAGGATTGTGCCTTTGTCAGCGTAGTAAAAACAGAGACGTGCTTACTTAGTTCTTTTATGAACTTGTCTCCGAATAACATGCCTTGAGCCTCTGGACCAAGTTCTTTAGTGCCCAATTCGGCAAGCTTGGCATCGATTTTATAAAGGACGGCCTTCCGCCATTCAGTTGATATTGCCACATTGGCATTGCCTAAAAGGCATAAGGCCCTTTGTGCCCACTCTCGCACAATATGTGCATCAAATGTGCCACCTGATAAAGCCTCGTCTGCAATAATGAAGATTTGTATGAGCGGGCCCGCCACATCCATCAACTTGTCTTGAGTGGCTTTCAGACCCTGTTCTAGACCCTTACGGGGGTCTTTTCCTGACTTGGTTAGAAAGGTCACAAGGAAAGGGTCAAATTCGGGTGTATTGGCCACCTTGTCTGGGATAGTGGGGCGTGGGCATTCTGCCCTTAATTTGGCTCTCACCTCTTTTTCTAAAGGCCGACGGAGCCACATTCTACAGTATTTGGCAATGTGGTCCGGGGGCGTCCATTCGGCCGATCTAGGGTGCCTGATGCATCTGGGGTCATATAAAGGGCGGCCAGAGGTGTCAAATAAGGCATCCACTTTTAAGTTAGGGTTTTCAGATGTGAGATCAGACTCCAATTGGAATTCCTCTAGGGGTATGAGGGGGGGGTTCATTAGTTGCAGAATCGGACGGGTAAAGGTCTCGGAATGACTTATGAGGCGGAGCCTCAGTATCAGAGTGTTCTGCGTAGTATTCGTCTAATACTTGGAGATTATAATTAGAGGTTGAACCCTCAAATGCGTCAAAATCATGTTGGGAGGTGGTTTGCTTGGGTTTAGAATAGGGCACTTTAGGATGTTTAGCAGGCGCTTTGCCTTTACCGGCGGTGGCGCTATCGCCTTTCCAAGGGCGTTTGCGAGGGGCTTCTCCATGCTCTGAAGCGTGAGAATCCTCAGAGTCTGAGAGTTGGGTAATGGTCGCCGTAGGGGCTGGGATTGTTTGCTCGCGGAAAGCCGCTAAAGCTTTGGGTATAGATTCAGTAATGGCATTGAATAGCCAAGCCTTAAGTTCGGCAGAAACTGCTGATTCTGGCACATCCGACATAATGTCAGTAACAGTGGGGTCACCACAAAAGAAATTAATTATTATATTTACAATATATATAAAAATGTATTTATTTATTTTGCATGTGCAGACAAACTAATTACAATGAGGCGGTGGACTTAGACTGCGTGTAAAAAAGCAGGAGAGGAATTATCCTGTAACAGATGGGTTCGTCCAGAATTTATCAGTGGGGTTCACCCAGAGAGAGAAGTGTATAGTGTCCAAGATCTAATAACAGGTATGTGCCTGTGTTATCATATAGGGATTACCCTGTATAGTGGCAGCAAAGGGGGTCACCCTTGAAGGAAAGGCTAGAGGGGGTCACCCTCAGAGTAAATGCTGGAGGGGTCACCCTCAGAATTAAGCAAGGATTTGTGTAAGCTGTTGGTAATTAAGCTGAAATCTGCAAGAAAAAATGAAAATTTTGAGTATGGGTATGTATCTTTAATTTTTTAAAACTAAAGGGTCTAGGGCTTTAAGAGGTAAAAATATATACTTACCAAACGGCTGGGTCACGTCCTGCAGTGAGAGCCGAGATGCAAGGGAACCGCCGCGCATAATCTTGCCACAAGATGGCGCTGAGAGGGAAGCCCGGGAAAAAAACTGATAGAAATAGCCGCGGCATGAAAAAAAGGCGGGACGCGTCTCTATGGAGACGCCAGGGCAACAGACATAGTGTGTGAGGAAACTGAGCGGCTGATTGGACTGGCAAGATGCCAGGCGCCGCGGGGAAGGTGTTAGAAATTAAACTGACAGTACAATAAAATAATAAGAGTGAAGAAAGTGAGGTAATATGAATTTGTGGGCTGACTGGAGTGCCAGCCCATGTAACCTAAGTAAATAGAAGCAAAAGCAGAAACAGATATTAGGAAAACTGTATGAGAAATATTAAAATATCAAAATAATATACAATATATATTAGTCAGCTACAAAATAGAGCTTTAATAGGAGTATAATTAGAATAGACTCACCTGGAAGGCTAAGCAGCAAAGAAAGAGGAGCTGGGAGGAGCCTGATGGCAGTTTATATTACTGTAATGCATACTGATTGATTAAACTTTTTTTACACTGTTGTTAACTGTTTCTTTGCTTCTGGGAGTTACAGTAAAGAAAGATAAGCAAATATGAAGCCTCCTGTCTTGCCATAAATTTCCCCCTATTTACACCAAAGGCTTTGGACAGTACTGATCTACTGTAATTCAGTTTCTACTAAATTAAATAATACGTTTTTGCACCCTTTGAATAGTCCTGTTAAATACAGCCTACATTTTGTACAATCTGTATCTGCTCTCTTTGCTCTGTCCAAATAATTTTTTTTTTTTTAAAGTGCTAGAATTGTGTCAATTCAAATATATGCAAAGGGTTTTTTTCTAATTAATATCCCAAGTTACATAAGTGGCATTTGTACTCAGGGTGCTTATTAAAGCTGGCTTCAATCTTGTTTTTCCCTAAAGCTCTTTCAGCATTTGGATGATACAAAACGTTCCCAAGAAAAATTATTCCTTTTTTTCTCTCATAGAGAAACAATCTGAACTCAAAAAAGAGAACATACTCTCTATAAACAGACAGCCATTGATTATATTTGCTGTTTTTCTTGTATGTTGTTTATCACATAAGATATCAGTGAAAAATATATATTTTCAGAGAACTAGGAGTGTATATTGATGTATTAAATGTATGTACTTTATTTTTTTTAGTCCTTATCCATGAGTATAAGACTGTACCTTTTAAAAATTCTGGTTTTCTTTAGAGTAACCTTTTCTATCCAGGTCCCATTCCAAACAAATGTAAAAAAATAAATATATATATATATATATATAATCTACAATTTACCTCTGTTCCAGCACCTAGGCCAAGTTTTCTCTGCAACCCGATCCTCCTCAGCTGCCGTCACTACCCAGTGCTGGGGCAGAGGTCACCAAGGATCTCAATCCTAAGGGATATTTATAATATTGTTTTGTTTTGTTTTTTGTTATAGGAATTTTTTATGGGCAGAATGTTTGCTTAAAACCTACTTCAAATTTTTATTCCCTTCTACTTCAAATATCTTTGGTGCAGGATTGCCACCTACAGGTACATTTTGGAAAGTGCTCTTTTACTTCCAATTTGTAAACTTTGGCACTAAACCGTTTCAGGGCCTATCCTGACCCAAATAATACTTAGTAATATCCCAAAAAATCATCAAAGGTTGGTTGTGCAAACCCAACCCAGAGAACATAGAACACCTATAAAATATTAGAGTACAATAGGAGGCTCATAGTGGTTACTAAACTCCAAGTTGGTGAATAGCAGTACATGGGCTGTCCTGACAAAATCTGATAAGGACAATCTTGGACACGTAGTAAAACAGTCCTTAAAGCAGATGAGATTTCACAAAAGATAGGCCAAGGGTTTTGTAGCCAGGAGTTGATGCCGAGGACCTGGAAGAAGGAACAAATTAATGAATGAGGAACTTTTTTGCAGGACTAATGTAATAAAACAACCAAACACTGATTAAATGGTTTAAAAGCATTTCAACAGGAACAAGCAGTTATGAACTTTTCTGGGTAGATCTGCAAAATCGTGTGACTTTGCCTATGAGACTCATGAAGAAATCTCATTTTGGATTAAAAATTCAGAATGTGTCTTTAAGTGTGCATTAGAAATTAGTCTTGCACAGTTGTGGACATATTCTGGAAGGTACAGTCCCATAGAACTATCGACCATACTGATAATGATCGGGACCCTGGTGCTCTTGAAGCATTCAACCCTCTTTGATGACAAGGAAAGTGGCCATGATGGTTTGGACATGTAGCAATGCATAAATCTAACTGTCATACTAAAGTAATCGGTAGATTTTGGTGTGAGTATCAAGCAAGGAAAGCGCATAAAAATGGCTCTAATCTAACATGAGAATACAAAAATCAGCTGAACAAATAGGACCTGTGGCACATTCTGACAAGTTCTGGGGTAAGTGTCATTGTTTTATATTTATCAGGACAATAATATTAATTTATTGATCTCTTTATTTTGCAGCTCCTGTAGAGCGTTTAATAAATGAAGTAAAAAGACATAGGTGGCTTTACAGACAGTGATATGTAGTAAAGTTAATTAAATACATATGCCATAGGGTTCAATCCAAAACCTACATCATCTCCAACAAATTACTGTGGAAGACATCTAACATGCTTGCAATCTAGAAGGATTGTATGTATTGAGGCATTTGTTGGGAGCAAATACAAATGATAAAATATAATTCCATTCATAACTGTGCCAATGAGGATTTATTACCGTAAATCAGGTTGGAAGTAGAACACAACTAGTATACATTAAATTAAGTATAAAGTGAATAATAATAATTAAGTTTGGAGAGACCCAGGACCAAGAAAGCCTGCACTGATAAAAGGTGGAGGTGCACATTAGTGTCCAGTAGAGCAGTGGCGGAACTAATGAAGAGATGGCCCTGGTGCAAGTATTTTTTTGGATGCCTGAAGACACATGCCCATAGGGTGGCCCTAAGTGCATGGGTCACTTGATTGGTCCCATCAGCATGCAGTCCCCAGTGTAACCGCATCACCAGCATTGGTTCTAGGGGCTGTATCTAGAGGTTTCAATGTGAGTATGTGTATTGAGGTTGCATTGTGTATTTATCAAGGAGCTGTAGTATGTATTTATGTGTATTCCTATATATATATATATATATATATATATATATATATAAAGGAAAGTCGGTGTGTAATGTGTATTTATGTGGCGTTGAAGTGTGTGAGTGAAGAGTTTGCGTGGGATAAGGTGTGTGAGGGGTGCACTGCATATATATGGAGAGGTATACTCTGTGTGGGTTGGAGTGTACTGTGTGGGGGAGGGTTCACTGTCTGTGAGAGTGTACTGTGTTTATGTAGAGAGTGGGATAGGGAGGGGCTTAACAATTTTTACTTAATTATTTAAAAGATAAAAAATATTTCCCTTTGCCTGTTCTTGCCTTGCAGAGAGTGGGTGGCAAAATCAGATTTGTGGTGGTTCAGAAGGATGCCTATCCACTGGGTACAGGATAGGTCATGATATGAGAGGTATCTCTCTTGAACCCTTTCCCCCCACACACATACATACACAGATTGCTCCTCCCTTCCCCCCACACACACATGCTGACTCATACATACACAGATTGACACACACACACTCCCTCCCCCCACACAGATTGACTCATACTGAGTGCACACTCACCAGCAGCTGCCTGGATGCCTAATTCCCGACATGCTCAGGGCAGCCTAAGCTTCCTATCCTAGTCTCTCTTCCCCGCGCTGCTCACTGAGACCCAGGAGAAAGTGTAATGAAATCACTTCCCACCAGCACAATTCACTGTGGGTCAGTGGAGCCATGGAAACTTTGCGGCTTGCTCTGCTCCTGTTTCTTTCTCTGAGTGAAATAAAGAGGCAGGGGTCTACGACTGACCACCCACTTCTGTGCTCTGCTGCAGCCCCGTCCAAAAGGCCCATCTGGCCAGTGGCAGCATAGATCAGTGGTTGAACTCCCAGCCATGTGCTGAGCCTCAGGGCAGTAACACCAGCTGCACCTCCAGTATTTCCATCACTGCAGCAGAGGTTACCAGATGTGGAGTCTGCATAGCTGTATGGGTCAAATGCCCTGTGTCAGTTTAAATCTGAATGGGTGTAGTTGCATATGGTGGATGAAAGGTGGAAGCCAGAATAAAGTTTATATTGGTTGAAAGCATGAAATAGTGCAATCAGCTACACTGGACTTAGAGGACCATCCCAAGAAGGAATGACGTCATGAAGTTTTGGGGGAAGGTTTGGATGTTGTATGTTATATTTTTAGGAGTTTGCAAAAAGATGAGAGAGGTGGCCGTTTGGATGTGGGGCAGGAACCTATTCCAGTGGTCGGGGCTGGGAGCAAAAATTAACATTTTGAGAAGGAGCTCCTGAGTGTGGGATGTGTAAAGGATGATGAATTGAAGGATGGCGAGGATGGACAGGAGTCCGTATAAGTAGGGATAAGGGACTTGTTCATACGTGTAATACTTGTGATAACAGACCACTTGCCCTTTAGAAGCCAGTGGTTTTGGAGGAGAGGTTAGGCATAACTGGAATTGGGCATGTTTAGGAGTATGTGAACTATTGTTTAGATTTGTTGAAGTGGAATAATAGGGTGTAGTGGAGGCCCATGTAGAAAGGAATGAATAAGTGTTTGTTAGAGTAGTGAGGAGTCAGAGATGACCCCAAGGGAGAGACGTGTTGTTGATTAATATGAGCAGTGACAGAAGAATCACACAACAACAAAAAGCCAAAGAAATGATCGCTGAAGTACACCAACTGAACAGGTTGATTGAGTTGAATTGTTAAAAAAAACTTGATTGGAATTATTAGACAGGTAGGACAAAAGTATTGTAAGGCAGTACAGGTGATACCAAGATTATCGGCTTGTTCATTTAGTCGTATGGGCATTCTGTTAAGATATCACAAACTGACTTATGATACCTTTTTATTGCAAACATATGATTTAAAAACAACATGTGAAAGATTCTTTTTCAACTAATTAATTTTGTTTACCAAGTTAGAAAATAACAAAATCTGAAAGTCAATGAAGTTTAGAAGGGAAAAACAGGTTTTTGAAGAAAGCAATGCTTATTTTTGGCTCACAAAAAACAATTAGGCATACAAAAAAAACTAATAATAATGGCAGAAAATCACGATCAATACTCAATAAAACCGAAAAAAGTAACGAGTGAACTTATTTGTGTTGTGTCTACAGACTGGAGTTCAAGGAACAATGAGCTCCCCTTTCAAAAGATGTTGGCAGTTTTAAATATTTCAAAAATACAACTGACAGGGCCTCAGACTCTACGGTTGAGCAAAGAACTAAATCTTTTCACCTACTAGTTCCTTTGTTTGTTTTTTTGCCACTGTAGTTGATGTGATTTGTTTTTTTCGAAAATGAACACTAGAAAGTTTTTCTTTCAGGAAACAAATGACATATGTAATGAAGTTAATCTTGTACCAACTCTCACTAGTTCTGAGAATTTTTTTATGTTTAATTCCCGTTTCTATCTCCCAAGGTGAGGAACTTTGATGGGGGCTAAATATAGAAGATCCTTTGTTAACATTAATATGATGTAATGGGAGGAGACCCATATATTTGGAGATGGATTCAGTTTGGATTTAGGTTCTTGTATTTTGTTTTACAATCGTTATATTGATGATGTGTAGCTCATTTGGAAAAGGGATGAAAATTCACTTGGGAATATGTTTACATTGATGAATGAGAATGGTCTAAACTTGAGATTCACTGTGAACTGAAGCTCAGGTAAAATAGACAACTTAATTTGATGTTGAATTTTACACATTCAGGTACAGGTACATCAACATATTGGACGCTTAATCCAGATAATTCATTTCTTCATGCCACTTTTAGTCACCCAAAACATCTTATCAAGTCTATACCTGTTCATCAGTTCCTGATGTTGCAAAGAAACTGTTCTGATCTTAATGTATTCTGTGAAAATGATGTTGAGAGAGCTTTTTTAGAGCTTTAAAATGGGATAGGACAAGTTTAATTTTCAATAGTTTTAAGAGTAGGAAAGTTGAGAATTTAGACTTTATTAATTCTTCACCTACATTTGTAACCTTTAGTTCACAATTTGAACAGGTTAACCAATTGTATGGAACCATTTAAGAGTATTGAATAATGACTATTACATTGAGATTTTGGTAGAGAGTAAGAATAGTAAAATGTAGATGCATGGCTAGATGCTCTAACATTTCAGGAAATATTCTCTCAAGTCTTTTCTCCAATAGTCATGAGTGGAGACCTGAATGGCTTATCCACACCTGGTATGTTTAAGTGTGTGGGTAAACTTTAAGTTGTGGTGGTCATGTTAAAGTGACCAATGTTTTTCGTGTAGTATCACTGGCATTGTGTATAATACAAAGGAATTTGTTAATTGCTGTTCAACACTTGTGATTTATCTACTTACCTGCACAAAGTGCGATATGCAAAAAGTCAGACAGACCTCAAGGTTCCTGAAATAAAGTATCAGGGAGCATGTTTGCGACTTTAAGTCACGTATAAAAAGAACACTTGTGGCTAAAACTTTTCAGATGTGTCACAGTTCTTATTTGAGATATTTACAGTTTTGTGGAATTCAGAAGTTGTCACTTCAGGTCACTTCAAATGGCTCTTTTATTTGAAAATTAGAAAACCTTTGGGAGTTTTGACTCTTGTTTCATAGGGTAGTTGTATAATTCACCACTGTAGGTTTTATTTTTTTTAATGTATTTTTATTTTTTTGCTTGTGAACCAATAGAATAGTAACATTTATAGTTTCTGTTCATAACTATGCTTTGTGTGCATTTAATATTTCATACTGTATTATTTATTTTGGATACATTTGGGATCATTTGTTTTAAATACTGTTTGTTTATGAGCTTTATATGTACTTTCTGTCTATTCCTTGGTTGATTTGTTCTGCACTGTCTCTTTAAATTCATCAGGAGTGCTTGGCACGCTATGAGTTTATGCACAGCTATATTTGTAATTATCTTTGGGGTATTAACTTAAATGGTGCAGGAGGGAGGCTCCTTACTTTTTATGATTACATTTTCAAAACCGTAATTTTTCGAGACCCACTTGCTTTTAATGCATATTTTAAAAAGTGAACACCATGGCAATCAGCTTCAGAGGCATACAATTGGCAAACCATGGCAATAAGCTTTAGAGGCATACAACTGGCACACCATTGCAATCCGCTTTAGATGCACACAGTTGGCACACCATGACAATTACTTTTAGAGGCATAAAATTGGCACACCATGGCAAACAGCTTTAGAGGCATACAATTGGCAAACTATAGCAATCCGCTTTAGATGCATACAATTGGCACACCGTGGAATCCGCTTTAAATGCATACAATTGGCACACCATGGAAATCCACTTTAGATGCATACAAATGGCATACCATGGCAATCAGCTTTACAGGCATACAATTGGAACATTATGGCAGCTTTAGATGCATAAAATTGGCACACTATAGCAATCCGCTTTAGATGCATACAATTGGCACACCGTGGCAATCAGTTTTAGAGGCACAAAATTGGCACACCATGGCAATCCGCTTTAGATGCATACAATTGGCATACCATGGCAATCAGCTTTAGATGCATGAAATTGGTACACCATGGCAATCAGTTTTAGAGGCATACAATTGGCATATCATGGCAATCACTTTTAGATGCATAAACTTGGCACATCATGGCAAAAAGCTTTAGATGCATACAATTGGCACACCATGGCAATCAGTTTTAAAAGCATATAAGTGGCACACCAGGGCAATCAGCTTTAGATGCATAAAATTGGCATAACATGGCAGTTTTAGAGGCATAATTTTGATATATCATGGCAGTTTTAGAGGCAGAAACTTTGCACATCATGGCAATCAGTTTTAGAGACATACAACTGCTCACAGACTCAGAATCAGAAGTGCTGTTGTCTTGCTCTTTCATCCAGGCACCTCACGTTGATTATCCCAGTGGTGGAACTAATGTAGAGAGGGCCCTGGTGCAAGTATGTTTTCTGGGCCCCCATCTAGTGAAAGTGTAGACAAAAGGTAGATCTCCATCTGTCGGAGAACTTCAACAATGCTGTACCAGATGGAGATCTACCATTTGCGCATCATTGCAGGGGTGTATTTGTGAGCAGTGTTTGAATGTAAGCATGTTTTTGTATTAAGTATATGTGTGCATGTATGGGTGTATTTGTATGTATTGTTGCTATTGGAATGTAGTGGTGTACTTGTTTATAATGTTTGCGTCTGAATGCAGGGGTGTTTGTATATGTAGTGTAAGACTTTAAATGCAGGTGTGCTTTTTGTGTGTAGTGTTGGTGTTTGAATGAAGGGGTGTTTGTAGATCATTTTAGTGATTTAATGCTGGGGTGTGTTTGTATGTAATGTTTGATTGCAGTGTGTGTATATTGTGTTTATAAAATATACATATACACAATGTGTGTTTAAATGTAAGCATGTTTTTTGTATGGAGTATGTGTACAGTGTACACACACACACACAGACACACACATTGACACAGTGATACACACAATGACA